ACAGCAGCTGCCGACAGTCCCAAGATCTCGGAAGAAAGTAAGGATGCTTGAAGAGTGTGTAGGTAAGACTACCTGCACCCCCCTCCCCCCACATGCTGTAGAAATGTATTGCTGGGATTTGTTGTATTCCTCTATAGCTGATGGTATATGTACCATCAGCTATAGAGGACCACAAATCCCAGCAATACATTATACACTGTATGTATATTGTATTTCTGGGATTTGTAGTCCTCTATAGCCGGTGCCATTCTGCATTGATTGCTGTATAATTTTACATTTTACATTTCACTATATTGCACACCACAGTTTTTTTGGTTGTTGCTTCCACCGCTCCAAGCTTGAGTGACGTGACTGGCTCAGTGTTCTCTGTACTGCACTGCGGTATACTGTATGTCAGAGCTATATACATGTATAATCATAGTGTGTGATTGTGGGGGGACATTAGAGTGTAAGCTCCTCTGTACAGAGACTGATGTGAGTGGCTCAGCGTTCTCTGTAAAGCATTGCGGTATATATATGTCAGAGCTATATATATGAATAATAACAGTGTGACGCTCAGCGTGGCGGCAGTGTGGGGGGGACCGGGCGGTGCGGGGGGGCCCCGGCCTAAAGCCGTGTAAGGGGCCCCGAAATTTCTGAAGTGTGACCTGTTTGTATCTTGCTCTCCTCTGACATACACTGTCACACTGTGACAGCGCTGTCTCCGCCCCCACACCGCTCTGCCAGTGTGAAGGCGCAGCGCTTGGCCGGCTGCCACTTTCTCTCCTCCCCACTGCGACACAGAGCAGCGCTCAGCAGGGAGGAAAGTGTAAGACCTATTGCGGTTCCGGGGTGTGCTGATTGCGTTCCACGCTGGAGCGCAGCACTAGGGGGAGAGTCTCTACGGCTCCTCCCCATGGGACATGACGAGTTGCGTTCCGGGGTGAAACGCGGAAGCCGCTGGGCGTTCCGTGCCCCCCACCCCCGTAGTCGCGGGCTATTTAAAGCAGTCGGAAGGCTGACACGGCGTGCCACAATTGAGGACCTAGCGCCCTGCAGCCCCCCCCGACACCTCTACTCACCTGAACCACCTGGACTCACCTGAACACCCCCTGCACTCTGGGAACTACACTGCCTGGGACCTCCTCCTCACGTCCAGCTCGCCTCCATACCTTGGTCTGGATCTTCAAACGCAAGTACCCTATTAAGGGATTTAACAACCGCATCCTGTTACTGCATAATTGATTGACTCTCGCTCTCTCTGGATATAAACCTAGTACCCAGGGACTGTATTCCTAATAGCTTGTTTTCCCCCCGCGGGTATTGTCATTACCAGCCTCTGCACCATACTAAACCCCCTATATTTTGCACTTCACCTTGGTCTCCAGCTAAGACCATTTGAACCATCACTGTGGCCTATGAAGTAATAGCCCACCATTACACTAATATCATTTGAGGAACACGGCAGATGATGCTGAAACCCCTAACTCTCCATACAGTCTGAGAGTGACGCCAGGGGTTTAAGCCCGAATAGCCGTTTCCTCTGTATAAAGCCGATAAGGTCTGTCCTCACTGTTCCGCAGCTGAGATCCGTAACATAGAGGATTAGGGGGTACGTGACAGAAAGAAAGCAGGGATGTGCCGATGTATCGGCAGGAAAACGGCACTTTCGGCATTTAGCCAAAATGTTTCGGCGGCCGATATAATCCGTGCATTCCTAATTTAAAAGATGAATGGGTACTGCATGTTTTGCATGTATGTCTGAAGATAGCAAAGAAAATACACACAAAAATCAAATAGTTTTGACTGTTTAGTTTTACAATGGATGCTGCTTTTGATGATGTTTAAAAGTTTTAACCTACTTCAGAATCAGCTAGTTCCCTGAGCAGTGGCCCTGATATCCTGTTTTAGGGTGGCTCATTTCCCTTGCAGATTCCTATGGAGCCCCCCCTGTGTTTGCTAGTAAGCTGTGTGTCTCCACAACACACAAAAGCACAGCACTTCCCTGCTCCCAAGTCCTCCCTCCTTCAAGCTAGTAGATGGACAATTGTAGGAGGCTATTCTGTCCCTTGTGTTCTTGTACTCAACAGGAAGCTCAGGGAAGCAGAGCTGAGAGTTTGAGCCAACTGTTTGGAAACACGATTACTGCTTGGGCAAACATTTAAGGGAATATTTTGCTGAGTAATGTATATTTGTTTGAGCTGGATTAATTATTTATTGAAAAACGTTTGAGAGTTTAATACTACTTTAAGTGGTGCTAGCACTTATCACCTGATATTAGTGGTAAGCGGTAATATCTAATTTAATATCTATACATTAAGATGAAAAACATTTAAAGGGATTGACTGCTTTTTAAATGTAAGTGGACACTTAGTTATGACTCATTTGTAGAATAACACTTCAGGTTAAATCTGGTATAGCAGCCTGTTCATCCAAAGCTGGCAAATAACCAACAATATCAGCCTTATTACTGATGTATCCTATTCAACGCGTTACGAAGCCTCTTCATGGGCTTTATGACCTTTAGACCAAGTTACAACTGGTCTTTATACTCTTACCTAGTGATGGAGGAAGAACACTGCTAGGAAAAGCAAGGTTGATCAATGGGTATGCAACACTGGAATGCTGCCTGAACACTGCATGGCACACTTCAGAGTAGAGCAAAGTTAGTGGGTGTTAGCGGATACTAAGCTATCAAGCTTCTGATCCAGCACTTGGGAGCAACTTAGTGATCATAGATGAAGCCTCTTTTGAATGTGTAGGATGAATAAAAGTTACAGGTAACTTGTAAGCATGACATGGCAGACTTCAGTTCCCATCCCCTGCATCCTGCAAGGCAGTTCCATTGCATAAATATTTTATCACTATACTCTGGCCTGGACCTAGCACTGCTTCCAGGAGTCATGCAATGTCAACTTCCAACTCTGGCACTTACTGTATCAGAAAGACAAAAGCTGATAGCCCTGAGTGCAAGGATCATCCAGCTGAATAGAATTTGCTGCTGCTGTAAAGGCAGACATGCACATTTACAGTTCTGATAGTTATAAAAATACTTATAAAGAAAATATATACTTGTGGTAGGGGATGGATTCCCATCACTGGAGCCTACAGGTTCAAACCAAGACCCCACTTCCAGGGTCACCTCTATTACACAGAAAAAAAAGCCTATACAGGTATTCCTCACTTAACGACCGAGTTCCGTTCCTACGACCAGGTCGTTAAACGGATTGGTTGTTAAGTGAGGAACTCTATACAGTACTGTACTGCATTAGTACAGTACTGTATAGTGTTGCCGATGTACAGTATCAAACAGTGTACTGTACATCGGGCAATGAAAATACTTACCGGCACCCGCAGTGAAGATCGGAGTACACCACTTCCGCCGGCGACACGGCGCACTGACGTTGACGCGCAAGGTCGGAGGTCGATCGGCGGTCCATCGTAAGTGCGAGTGGTCGCAAAACAGGTAAGTCGGTAAGTGAGGAACATCTGGTATGTGATTAATGTGTTTCTGCTGATAATAGGAGAAAAATGTGTAGCCAGTAACTATAATGGGTAAAAACACTTTTTTACCGTTGTGACTATAGACACAGGCCTATGTATCATTTGGTAAATCCATCTCTGGCTGTGCTGAATACATGTAAACTGCTGGACGTATGAGTGTGAAAGGCAGTCATACAATATACAAGATGTGACAATTTAATTACTGGAATGCTCATAGTGGCAAGTCACACAGCCATTTGCACCTAAGTGTGTTCTGACATGTTTTCATTTGCACTTGACTTAGTCGCAGACCAGTTGACTCAGTCCTTAGGGAGTAGTAGAAAAAATAACACATGAGCGCGTTGTGCTGTTAGCAGAAAATGAGTGACAGGACTCTGGAGCAGCGGACTTATATCAAATTTTGCATGAAAATTGGCAAAAGTGCAAATGAAACTTTAGCTCTCTTGCAACAGGATTATGGTGAATATTCCATGAAGAAATCAAGTGTTTTAAATGGCATAGGTGGTTTAAGGAGGGGTGGGAAGATGTCCACGAAGACCGGAACTCTGACCTGACAAGTGGATTTTCCACCACGACAATGCTCCTGTATATGATGTGTTAAGCGTTCGTGAGTTCCTGGCCCAGAAATCCATTCCGAAACTTAACCAACCACCTTATTCCCCTTAGCACCCCGCTACGTTTCCAAAAATGTAAAAATGCTTTCAAATATCCAGCGTGCTGAGACAAAGATACTGCGCAGCGTTTCGGGAAACAAATTCCAGGAATGCTTCCGGCAGTGGCACAGTCATCTAAAAAAATGAGTCTCTTTACAAGAGGACTACTTTGAAGGTGACAACAGCCGCCGGTGTATAAGTAAGCAAACATTTTTTTACAGTCCATTTCCGGATTAAATTGTCACACCTCATATATTGTTCTGTTATTAAAAAATGCATACAATAGTTCATGAAAAAATTGTAGCAAAATGCATGCTCAAAGACAAACCTTCTTGTGACATTAACTATGCAGCAGACACTGCTAAAAACTACAGAAACTTTAAAAAAATGCAACTATAATAAACTACTTAGTGCCCATAAAACAGCACATTTTAATGACTATGTCCATAAATGCTTCCTAGTGTAGACAACTTAGTTTATGTTCACTATTGGTGTTTACGTTCCTTTTAGCTGGCATTGATTTGTAATAGGAATGTGTCTCTAAGGCTTTGTTCCAGGCTGCTACATTCTTCATGTGGATGAATTACCCCACACAACTCTAATCTGCAGCTGATGTAACTATAAGGCACATTCTTTTCACAGGAAAGACAAGGGATTGACACAAAGACATGAGAGTTTGACTCAAGAGGAAATTTTTTTCATACATTATACGTACACAGACTTGATTATTTGTTGGCCATGTCCTAGCATATCCGGAAATAATTAAAAGCAAACAGCAGGTTGAGCTAACCCATGTCAACAATGGATTTGTGTCTTAACAACAGTCTCTAAGAAACTGAAGTTTGCTGAGAGTGTGTAGAAAACACTATTAATTACCCAGTCTGCCTGACAGGGAAAAGTAGCACGTTTATGGAAAATGACGAGCTGCTATCAGATTGCTGGTGGAATCCTCATTGCATTTGGCCTTTTAAGTATTTTTTCAGGGGTCATAGCATTTTTTCCAGTTTTTAGCTACAAACCTTTATTTATTGGCTGGAGCGTACGGATTGCTTGTCCTATCTGGAATGGGGTGCTGGTAAGAGAACCAATAACACTTTCGTTATTTATTGCCTCTTACACTGAAATATCACAGCTTGGTTACTATTCATTTTGTTAAGCGAAAATACAAATACTAAAAAAAAAAACCTAGTATTTAGATTATCCCCAAACATGGGAAAGAGTTCCTAAGAAAAGTGCTTTTGAGTAAAACGTGTCCATGGAGCATTTTCTGTTCTACGTATATATATATATTTTTTTATATTTATATATATATATATATATTCTTTTTCTTGTTTTTTTTGGTTTGTTTCTTTTGTGTTTACAAATGTACGATTTTCTCTGTAGCGGATGTTTATGCATTGATTGTTAACACAAAACTCTGTACATCTGTGAAACTGACCACAATCTAGAAATGCTTTTTTTAATCTTTGTGGGTGACCTCAGTGTCAGTTGTTTACCAACTGCAAATCTAATGTTGTCCAGACATGGAACGATCTATTGGTGATAATGATAAAATGCCAAATAAGAGGAATCTGTCAGGAAAATAAATAGCCATGTGATTAGCCTCAGGTGGAAGATTCCATTATCTGTGTTAAGCTGGCCATACACCTTACAATTATCTGCAGATTTTCTGTGGTCAGATGGAAAAGGTACAACAGATTCCTCCATCTACGCTAAACTGTGTGGATGGAGTAATCTCCACCTGGGCCAATCTGTTGCACTTTTTCCATCTGACCACAGAAAATCTGCAGATAAATTGTAAGGTGTATGGGCACCTTTAGGTTGTATACTGTTAACTCACACTGAAGTTTAATAATTTTACCTTCCTTGCCCCAGCACTAAGAAGGCAAATAGCTTATTAGCTCAACTTATTTTGCTTTGTGTTGGATCCCCTTTAAAAAGGTCAGTCCTTCCAAAAGTGATATGTATGTGTATGATGCTTGGTAGGAGTGAGGCTTGTTTTCCCTAGTCCTATTGGTTCTTCAAAGCTAGAGGAGGATGGAAGAGGCTCCAGAAGCATTTGGAAAATGGAGACTACATAGGCAGAAGGAGGACTGCATAGTCTAGATATTTTGATGGCTCTCCCGGACGTCAATCTGAATGAAAAGAGTGGCCAATTTGTGTAGGGCGGGAGGGATGGATCTTTTGGACAGTTAGTCCTTTATGCTTATGTATGAAATTATAGCACATGCTGGCCTATGGTGATACCCTCTGGATGAAATCTGTACCAGCAGCAGAAGATTCATTAAAAGTCTTCCAGAAGGTGTCCAGGAAGTGGGTTAGACTGGAAGTCATGATGTTCCCACAGAGGAGAGGCCCATGTAAAGGCCTCACCTGAGAAAGGTGAAATCTTATAGGCTACCTTGGAGCAGTCAGAAGGCAAAGTTGTGGGCCAAATGTTCTAATTTAATGGAGCACTGATTAATGAATCCATGACCGACCTTAGGGTTGAGAAAGAAACTAGATGGTGAACGGAGATGAACACTGGCGGCACCAACTTCATGGGTGGCGCAACCTTGTGGCAACAGTTTGATGGCCCTTTTCTGTTTCACCATGACTGTACTCCCCTGCAATAAATTAGAGCAGCGATTGCAAGCCAGGTCTTTTTGTTTAACATCAATACCTGAGCTCACAAATGCTCTTTTGGCTGAATGGGCACACATTCCTGAATGCACATTCCAAAGTCCTGAAGATAGCTTTCTAGAAGAAAGGAGGCCGATGCAGCTGAAAAAGAGAGGCTCATGAAGGGTTCGGCTTGACATTATTGCCTTTTGAATGGGATGTCCAACAAGTTTATATAGGCATGATAGTTAGGTGTCCACAAAGCACATATAAAACAAAATTCCATAAATATGTTAAATAATATTTCAGTTATAATGGTGTACATTTTTACAATTTAATTACTGTGGAGAGAAGGGGTCCACTCTTATCTGGGTATAATACTGGATATCTCAGATTTAATTATTAAGTCACAAATGTGCAAACTCGAATCTGGTGCCTGCATTTAATTTATTTAGAATTCCTCTTGCCTACATATATACCTAGTACCAACAGCACCCTATTTACTTTGTAATCCTAAAGTAATTTAGCATAGCTGATTATGTGCCCAATATGCTGTTACATGTTTGAAAGTTCTGCATAACAATACTAGAGTGCAACAAGTTATTGCACTTATCCTTGGCTAATATCTTGGGGTCGACTGATTTAAAAGCTACTGCATGTATTTTACACATTCAGTGCTCCAGTAAATCAGCACATTCCTATATTTACAGAGCTGTAAACCTAACATTTATTACATAGAACTTGGAAACTACAGAACACTTCTAGGAAAAATATGAGAGCTCCTACTTACAGTTCAGAACTACCAAAGCACAAGGGCTTCTCATGATATTCCTAAACAATCATTCTGCATTAAAAATGCTGATCCTCTGGGCATTGGATGAGCTTTTCATGGAATAACATGCACAGAAATCAAACAATGACTTCCCAAACCATCTGATTGATATTCCAATGCATCTCACCCATCTGCTGCAAGTGTTTTGTGCCCATATGCCTTCAAATTGGTTCATGATTACCTCTTTATTGTTTGAATCATTTGACAATTCCTGTAACTCACAAATTTTAACAGTGGAATGAGCAGTCCTGTTATAATTCATAAACTGTTTCTTAGTGTATTTTTTAGTCAGATGAATATGGTTTCCTGATATGCATGTATAGGCTTTAAATAGGTGAGGTTCTTCTGGTTCATACGAGCTGGTAAATATATTATTGTAAACTGCATGAGGAGGGGTGTCAACATGCAGATTTTCTTTCGATAAGTAAATTTTAGATTAGGTTATATGGCGAATTAATTATAGCCATAGCAAACACAAAATATGCTATACAAAAAAAGTATACATAAGTTATTTGCTTATGCACAAAAGTAACAAACTGTGTTATCAGGGATGCAGCATACACAAGGTCTACAAGGGTTATTTTAAAGTAAAACTGAGCTTTGTCTGTACAAAGTACCAGGTTCTCTGTAATGATAGACTCACCTGCAGCTTAACTTGCCTTTCCTTCACTCCCCTGCTGCTCCATTCAGCTGCCAGGAGTAAAGAAAATAATTTGTTACTTGGGCATTTGGGAAGCATGTGACTTCCCTTCCGTCTATGTAACAGTGCTGATGATTGTCCACACTGTCCCTCAGCACTGTTAGATGGGAGCATGAAACGGCTCCTCAACCCTATGAAAGTTCCCAGTCTCCAGAAGAGAGGGACAACTTTCTTTGCTTAATGCAGCTGAACATAGTGGCAGAAGAACAACTGTCCATAAACTGTAATGTATACTGCTCAGCCTGCCTAAGGTCAGTACAGGGTTTCACACCTTGCATTCCTTAAGCACTGGGATTACGGTTGGCACTTGACCAGTTGGAACTGGAGAGTTTAATTTGTATAACCATCGCATTTAAATAATATTCAGAGTGTCCAGGGCTCTCCCATTGCACCAATTATGACTGTGAAGTTGCTCTGACAGAGCCACAAGTCACTCTCCCCATTTTCCCAATCAGTTTTCCATGGACCAAAAGGTGGCAACCCCAAGCAACATTTGTATATAAACATATTCTAATGAACTTGGTTATTTCAGATATTGCTAGTTATCTGTCTATGATACTGTAGAAACTGGCTTGTTTCCTGATCCTTCTGCATACATATCACAAAGACTGTTAATGATGACCTCATTCAGGCTTTTAATGAGTGCATTGACTATATTGAAAGTCCACCAGATGCATCTTTACACTATGAAAAAGGGAAAGTTACAATACATATTTTATATAGCTGACTTCCTTAAAAAAAAATTATAATTTTTTTTTCCATCCAAACAAACCTTGAAAGTGCTTTCATCACTGAAATATATTTCTGTACTGTAAGTGCATCCATAGTGTGCATCCAAATGAGCTTCCATGTATGTCAAACTCAATTTGAAGAAGGACTACAATCTAGAGAACATGTCAAACATCAAAGGTTATAATACCCAATGTGGCAGCTTAATTAAAGACTGACTGAGCTGTCCAATGGGTGTGGTGCTGCACTCATGCAAATTACACCATTAGGATTGTTATATTGATACTGTGTTAGGCTGCACAAATCATTATTAAAACATTGTATTTACATTATCACATTGAAATCCTTTTATCATTTTGTTCTGTTTTTGTAACTTTCTAGCTGTTAGAGCAATGAGGACAGAAAATTCAAACCGGAGTCACAAATGTATCAATAACTTCCTTAAAAGGATTCTTTTTTTAAAGGTGTTTATATGGAAGACCCTAAGGTCTTTTAAGTATATCAGCGTACAATGATGGCCTAACATGGAATGTAAACTTTCCAAGGATTCTTGTTGAACTGTGAACTTAACATTTTAACTACTGAGCTATGTTTCCACTGACACACATAGAATAGAAAACAGGTATTACACATGGTAACAACATTACATTTGTATTTTTCAGCTACCCTTTCCAACTACCACAAAACATGGATAAAGCCAGAGAGATACTTTTTGCTCTTTGTCTTATTAAATGGGCATCATTTCACAGCATTTCGAGAAACATTAGGAGGTTATAGCGGAAATGGAGTCTATAGAGGTTTAGACACCAATGACTATTGCTGATGAATAGACATTCATCAACCTGTAGCCCCTACACTTTCTCAAACATAATCACAGCTATACAGTTATGTGTTTATATTATAATAATGTATTCAGAATCAAATTGGCACTAATGAAAGTTGTACACACTATGTAGATCAGGTCATCAGCCATACTTAATGGCTATCTAATGTTCCCCTGGTCCCACCCAAATAGGATTCAGATTTCTTTTTGGGCCCATATAAAAAAGCAGTAAACACACAAATATGCCATAAACTGCTTATAAGTACAATTACATGAAAATGGAACCGAGCATGCAATAGGTGTGATTCACAAAGCCAACACAACAGCAAAAAGATGCAAAATTTCTAAAAGTGTCAGTTATTTTTTGCTAAGAACAGGGAGATTATAAAATCACAGTCACCTATCGGAATTAAAGATACTTATCTTTGTGTACAGATTTGTGAATTAAGCCTAATGGATGATCCTCTGCTGTACTTTTTAGCTTTGTAAACAAGCCAATGAGTGCAGAATAACAAACAATAATAGTTACATAAAAATTACAAAATCTATTCAAAATCAAGTTCAGCATTTCACAACTCTTGCAACTTTGTTCCAGAGCAAGGCAAATCAAAACTCCCCACAATACTGTTGCCAATTTGACCAAAAAGAAAAAAAAACTCCTGAGCTGAAAGCTTTCAGCTTTATTCCCTGGATAAAATATTGGGTTTTTTAGTCAATAGTGATTGTGGCTTTAGATATTAGTTGTAAGAAAATCATTTAGTTATTTTTTTCCATCTTCTTCCATCTTCTCAGTATACAGCTCGCGGTATACTGAGACGCCACAGTACACTGCTCGCTACTGCTCGCGGTATACTGAGATGCCGCAGCTGAAGCGGATCCCGACAATTACGTCTGGATCCGCCCAGCTGCGTGAGTGACAGTTGGTTCTGCCTATCTAGAGGCAGATCCAGCTGTACCCGCCCCCTCCCGTCCAATCCCCCAGTCAGCGCTGGCGGATCGCAGCGGGGAGGGGGGAATCCAGCCCCTCCCCTGTCACGGCAGAGAGCTGTGACAGGATCGAGAGGTGAGCGAATGCCGGTATCTGTTTGCTCACTTCTCGATCTACTGAGCCGACCTGTGACAGTCTCATTGTCACAGGTCGGCTAGAACTATGAGGGAAAGCACTCACCTCATAGTTCTCCTTTAACAAAATTATATCTTATTTGTGTATGACTCGGCTGTAGATCCTCAAAAGGTGGCTACTTTTGTTCTGGAGGGTGGCTACTTTTGCTCTCCATGGTCCCTGCGTATGTGTTCTTAATTTTAGGATCGACAGCTGAGTGATACACAAAAAAAATACATTTTTGTAAATAGTTAGGGTACTTAAATGCATTTTAAAAATGTAACTCCTGAGTTTAGTGTCACTTTAAAGGACACTTATAGTAACTATTTAGACAGCCATAGCAATGCCGCAATGGTAGAGCAGAATACAGATAGTGCATTTAAAAATGTTGTTTTTTCATTTTAGAAGAAATTGCATTGCAGTGATTCAGCTTTACTAGTTTTTAGAAGGACTTGAACAACCAAAACAACCAAAGTTTTTATAAGTATATTAATGTGTGAACTGGTTATAACCAGGCAAAAAAAAAAAGAAATGGACCATTTCTTCCTTTACAATAGACACCAAAATAAAAAGAAATGCTATATTTTCAGCTAAAGAGTTTTTTTTTTTTTGGTTTTTTATTGGAACATGCTATTCAACTTGCCTTAACATTTTAGTATCCTGTATTATGCTCTAAATATTTATAAAGCTTCTGAAACCATTTTCTTTTATAGGCTTTTTCAGTTGGCATCCTTGCTGTCTTATCATACCGGGAATGGATACAAAGATCGCTGGTAAGATACAAATATATGATATTGCCTTCAGGCTCAGGACTGGATTTATACTTTTTTCTCCCATAGGTTAGCTACCTTGTGCCACCCACCAAACATATACTGGAGGGGGCTGAGGCAGTGTTAAGAAGCAGTCCAAATCTCTAGCATGCTACTAGCACAGGGTATTTTAACCCGTGCTGCAGCACAAAACAAGTAAAGAAAAAAAGCCTGACATAATTATGTTAGAAGCATAAGACGTGCTCCTAATGTCACTCTCCCCATAGCCGCTGCTTATGTCTACAGCTGCCACTCAGCTGCTCTCTTTTCCAGGCCTGAGCATTGGTGGTTTCCAAGCAAGACCCTGAAGTGTTAGCAACACCTCTCTGCACTTACTGGCCAATGTCGGAGGCATCCCTTTTGCTATAGAGAGGCTTTGTGCTGTCTGTTCAACCTCCTCTGCACGGTTGGCCAACAGAGCTGTGGCATCCTGTTTGAATATCGCAAGCCCGGGGTTCTGGGCTTGTAATAGCATTTGCCACTATGCTTTGTCTCTGGATGACGTCTGTTACTGACCCCTTCCTGGATACAGAATACTCTTCTGATTGCCATCTACCCCGATTCTTGCTTGTGTAGCAGTGCCTTTAAGGAATGGTATCAGAGTTGTTTACGTTTGTCTCCTGCTGCTGGAGACTGTGAGGAGGACTCTGATTGGCTGTAGAGCAGTCTGGGTGCAGCTTACTCGTGGAACTGCAAAGTTTATTGGGGAATGTAGTCCAGGAACAAGAGAAGTGCTAGCGCAAACACAGAGTAAAGGAACAAGAACTCCCACAGTTCCTGGAGAGAGGCAGGAGGAGAAAAGAACTGCGTCTTGTTAGCGCTGGAGCTCTGGGTTAGTCATTCACCACATGGAGAGCAGACAGGATGTGCCAGTCTGCTAACAGCTGAATCACAATTTGCTGCTTCATATTGCGATTTAAATCCAAAGCCTTTGCCTTATACAGTATATTAAAACCCATTAACTTCCCCAAGGTGTGTTGCTGTTTTGTGGGTCCACTCTTGGAGGTTCATCACTGGTGTGGGACAGAAGAACCTAATTACTTCAGCGGCTCCTTCAGGGGTGAGCACTACACCTGGATGCAAATTACTTTTCTAAATACCGTCTGTCTGATCCTTGCCTTGATACAGATTACTCTTCTGATTGCCACCTGTCCTGGCCTCTGCCTAAATACCATGTACTCTTTTGATTGCCGCCTGTCCTGCACTTCCCCGTTTTATGGACTACACTACTATCTGCCTCCAGTTCAGACCACTGGTAGCTTGGCGACCAGTCAGCCATAAGCCTCACTATTTTCACAGAGCAAGGCACAAACTGATACATCTTACATTATCACAAGCCAAAAACCATGATGAGGAATCTTAACAGGCCCAGTTATGTGCAGTGGAAATCTGTAAGCTGAACCGCCACGTCCAAGCACTCACAGACCAGTCTTCCCAACTGCACTTATCCCCTGTTCCTGCTGCATCTGCTGCCCCTGAATCTCAAATTCTTTTTGTTATCAGTTTTAGTTTAGTCTCCAACAGGACAACTGAGTGGGTCTTTTTCCTCCTGTAGGCATAATTTGCATAAAACAATGGGATGCATTCCTACTCTGGGATTTCACCCTTCTTTTGTATCTATGGCCTTAACCCCAGGCCCTGCTCCTTTTACTCTTGCAGTTCTAATCTTGTAGAGGTCAACAAGCTTGTGGACCATTTTTCTGCTATTTGGAAATCTGTGCATAGCAACCTTGTGCATGCCTCAGCTTCCCAAAAAGCTTCTGCTGATAACCAACGCTTGGCTATTCCCACATTCAAGGTTAGTAATCTGGCATGTCTATCCACCTCGGGAAGTGGGGAGTAATGTTAGGAGCTTGAGACACACTCCTATTGTCACTTTCCCACTCATTCTGGCTTCAGCCACTGACCTGCCACTCTTTCTTCCTGACCTGAGCAGCAGCCCTGCACTTTCAGCAACACCCCTCGACCCTCACTGTCCAGTGGTGGGAAGAATCCCTGTCGCTAGGTAGTAGGAGGACCATGGGGAACAAAAGTATCCTTAAGGAAAGGTGGCTGCTATAGGCAAAACTCTGCATAGACCTTGCATTTTTCAAGGAACAAGGCGAGAACCAGTAAAACTTACAATTTATTACTGTATATGCAGTCCAACTGCATTACAGTAATAAACTTTTTTAAATAATGAATCAAAACACATATACATTGCCCACCAAAGTATCTCTTTTCATTTTTGGCCAAATAGCTGACTCCAACTCTTAGCTTGGCTTCCCTGAAATTCCTGCCCACTAAAAAAATCACAAGGGACAGCACAGACTCCAGTAGCTGTCTATCTGCTAGCTTGGGGAAGGGAGGAGGGAGAGGAAGGAGAGAGGAAGGAGAAGTGGGGAGTGGATTGCCCTGCTGCGCCTGTGTGTTTGTGGAGACGCACACAGATTACTAGCACACACACACACGGGTGGCTCCATAGGACCCTGCACAGAAGAGAGCCACCCTAACACAGGATACCAGGGCCAGTTCTCAGGGGAACAACCGATTCTGCAGGAAACTAAAACCATTTCAATTGTAAGTGATTTAATCAACATCTGAAATAGCTTAAACATCTTTAGATTTTAATATTACTGTGTAACACATTAATGTCATTCAATTTTTTTCAATCTGCAGCATTTATATAAAAAAATTCCTAGTGATCCTGCTACAAGGGCCCATGTTTATGTGCTTCCTGTTATGGGGTGAAAACTATTTCACAATTATGTTCCTTTATTGTTACCCTGTGACATGCCTCTGGTTCAGACTACAAGTGGCTGCTGCTGACACATGCAGTATTTCGCAGGCATGGTTCACAACAGCCAATGATGGAACAAGTACAGGAACTGGCTAAAAAAGTCTGCCCCCGCAGCACCGGAATGCAACAATGGATGAAAAAGAAGATGAAAACAGTTACTGAAAAATGGCCTGGCCAGGAAGGGGGTGAAACACTATGGCCTTCAAGTGGTTAAAAAAATGGCAGTTGTTAATGATCCATAACATTTTATTAAACAAATGTCAAACAATGTCATCCAAATGGGGGTTAGATCTATAGTTTTTATGTTGGAAGACAACACATTACATCAATAAACAGTTCCCATTTGGGTTTAGCATCACTGAGTGCTTTTGTAAAACCAAGGACAACAATCACTTTGAATGGTAGATTATAGAAGGATATCTATTACACTTTTATGTGCATGGATGGTCATTCTCTGTACAAGTACTGTACAAAGAGCTTTTGTCCCATAAAAGCTCTTTGAACAGTAGTTAAAATGATTTCTAAAAAAAAAAAAAAAATCTGTACAAAGAGCTTTTGTCCCATAAAAGCTCTTTGAAAAGGAATTAAAATGATTTCTAAAAAAAAAAAAAAAAAACAGTTAGTGACGACAGTTGATTTGAAGAAGGTGCTGCTGAATGTATTAAAGAGCTGCTTGTTCTTCACAAAGTAATCCATACAGTTAAAACAACACATATTTTTCTAATGGATTCAATTACAGTGAAATGAAATGCAATCTTACACTATGTGCGATCATTTATTTTAATAAACCTTATATAGCATAATAATGTGTAATTAACAGTTTCAGGTTATTATGCCCTAACATCAAACCCTTATAATTGTACATAGATACAGTATTTACTGCATAGTTTTGCTAAAGAGACCATACAGAGTTTTGCTAAAGAGACCATACAGTTTATAGATGTCCAGCTAGAAGATACCCAGTAAACGTGTGGCTTACTTTATATAGTATATATTGGATTATACTTTTGCTACTTAATGTGAAAAATTTAATTTCTAAAGACATTAAATTAATATATTGACCAATAATGGAGTAAACAGGCAAGCAGAACTATCTGTAAAAACATGATGCCCTAGCACATATGAATGGTGTTCTTTAATACAAACCCTACACTTTAGAGTATTTATAAGCAATTCATTTTGCAGTTTGACTGGAGAAAGTGGCTGTATATTCTCTGTGCAAATTTTGTAGCATTCACAAGCCATATTTCGCACAATGTATGAATCAATAGGTGTCTTGCGAATGGTGAAGATCAAATGATCTTTAATCTGACAGTTTCTGTAAGCTGAATGTTGCAAAATGAAATGTTTGCAATATGAAGATAGTTATTGACAGATCTAGATAATGGAAACATTCAATTTTGCAACATTCAACCTACAGCAGCTGTCAGATTAAAATAAAGAACATTCGATTATGTAACAATTGAACTATAGAAACTGCCAGGCTAAAGTAAAGAACATTACATTTTGTAACAATAATGCCACAATATATTTATATATATATATATATATATAAAAACGCAGTATTGCAGTGTGCAATGATACCTTTCATTATTATAATGATACCTGCAATACTGCGTTTTTGTCTTTGGACTAATACAGCTTACCCATTTATATTGCACTATACAGGTGAAATATACTGGGGGCCAAGTCACACCCCCATAGGGCATGTTTTAATGCATATATCATTACTATTCATTGTCAGAAATAAGCTTAGGTGCTGAAGGCTTCCCCAGGAGTCCCTGAAAATGTTGCAAATGAGGACCACCCTTAGTGCATCTCGCAATGTACTGTCAAACACTTCCGATAGACTGTTGCAGGACTTGCCAACTCCTTCATCACTACTGTGTACGATAGTGATCATGGGGTTAGTGGAGGAAACCCCATTTCTCAGCAGGGGCCACTTTATTGTTGAGGACACACCACCTACAAAATGTATAAGGAGATCAATATGAAATGTATAAAATATATATAAAACATGTGCAACACATGAAAAATGCACCTAAATAAAAAAAAATGCCAGCTGTGTGAATGGGACCCAACAGGCTTATTCACTAAACAGTGCAAGGAGCAAATTAGTATGTTCAAAGTATATTATTCACCCATAACAACTATTACAAATCCACATTTTCAAAGCCATATTGGTATCTCTAATAAGAAATAAGATGATTTCTGAGTGGTTGCTAGGACTACCATGCTTTATATTTAGTGATGTACTCCTTGCACAGTTGTAACAAGCATACCCAATAGACATACAATGCACACACAATCTAACGTATGCCTCAAATCTCTTTCAGTGGGAATCCACATTCACCTTGAGCCTGCTAAGTATCATTGGAGCACCGGTTCAGTTTGCAGTGGCCATTGCATCAATTCTCATTGGCCCTTACTGTTATTATACTTTCGCAGGGATGTCAGCAACCAACTATATTGGCTACGCTATTAAATATCCTTTCCCATATGCCAAGTTCCAGAATGTATGCCAAGACCCCCTTCACTACGAATGGTACCACCTGGCTCTACAAATTGTCGACCTGCTGTCAAGTGTTCTAATCTTATGCTCTTCATTGGCATTGGTAATCAGGCTCTCTGCCAGAATACTGCGCACAGGAACATTTAATGTGAGTAGGAGGTAGTGACTAAGTGAACTGTGAGCCAACAATTTTTTTTGTAGTTTCTGGTAAATTCGTGTTATTATCTTTACACTGTACAGTATGGTTAAACTTCAGAGTATGCATACATAGGCATTTAAAGCAAACTTTCCAGACATTTTCTAATCCAATTCCATAAGCTTAGATCTGTTAATTCACCTTTGTTCGGAGTAATACAATAACAGACTTTTATGCTGGTATCCCCATAGCACAAGGGTGATAATCACGAGGGTTCCTTAGTATATCAAATCTATTTTTTAATTGGTTCGGCACAGAGGAAATGCTTCAAGATGAGAACACCAGTATCTTTCATAGCCCAGGTGCCTGATAAACATGGTGCCTTTAGCAGAGGATAAGTGCAACTTACCTATTCCTGGTGCATACACGTCAAACCCTGCTCATACACTATGTTCACATACCTTCAAGAATGTCGTAAAAAAAAAAAAAAAGCCCCACCCCCATCCAGACGAAGCCCCGGCTAGTGTGAAGGAGAGAGGGAAGAGGAAGGGAGGAGCCTCCCTGCCCCTCAGTTGCTTGTCACTGCTGAGGCATCAAGATCAATGGCCTCAGTGGTTTTTTTTTTTCTTTTTTTGATTGGACAGCTTGGACCAATGGCACTTTGCCATTGGTCCCAACCTTCCACAGAGCTCACGCATCTAACAAAGAGTAGAGGCTGTGACGCATCTAACAAAGAGTAGAGGCTGTGACAGCTCTTGCCTCACTAGTTAGGCTACACAAGCAGTGGGGAAGCTCACTGCTGTGTAACCTAACTACCTCTCAAAAGCTGTATGCAGCACTACCTGTAATTAACAGGTAGCGCTCCGTCTATTACAGGTTACACAGTGAGGAGGCTTTCCCTGCTGTGTAAGCTGTTGCAAGCTGATCTGAATTAAGAAAAAGCTCTCAGCTTCAGAGTTGAAGTTGAGAGCTTTTTCCTCCATAATACTAGGTGAGGCTCTGTCTCACCTGTCTCCCCTGACCGCACGTACCTGGTAAAATGTATACACACAATTAGATGAGTCAGAGCAGGGATCCAGCCCTTTTAAAATAGTTCAGTCTGTAATTTTAATGAAATATAGCAGTGTCCAAAAAGAGGACTTCTTTTGCTTACTCTTTAGCTAACCCATAGTGCTCGAGGAATCCTTTTTTCATAATTTTTTTTGTATTTCTGCATCAATGTGTACATATAGCAAAATCATATAGACAGCATATTTTCAAATCTTCAAAAAAACCTCAAAACTATTATTTCCCATTTAATTCATACATTTTTTAGAGCTTCCTAGCCCCTGTGGCTTCCTGAGGAGCTCTCAAGGTGCTACAAAATTAACATAGATTCACGTCCACTATATGCACCCCCTTCTTTATCCAAGATAAAATCTAAGTAAGAGTCTTCCAGCTTGTCATAGGGATTCATTATAGCATTGCAGTGTGTGATCCTAAGGCATTTCCAAGTTCCAGCACTCTAAAGCATCTCTATAAGATTCATTTATTTTGTGCCTGAAGGTAAATGGAAATCTCGACAGGGTTATTTGTTAAATAGAGCTGGACAGAAAGAAAAACCCTCTTTTACCAAAGCAGGCAATGAGGGGGAAATTATTTATTACATTTTTGATTTTCATTTCATAACCATAAAATAACAAACCTGCACCCTAAAACAGACAAACACACACAGATCACAGGCCAGCATTCCATAACACTAATAGAGTGTCTTAAGAAAAGGGTCCACCCAAAGGCCACATGGAACTGTACAACAATAAGAAGGCAAATCCTTCGCATCTTAATGACATGACATTCTGGAAGGTATGACATTTGCTTTCCTTTCATCAGTGTATTAAGTATGATTCATCATTAGCTTCTTAGTAAGACTTTGTTTTTTTCCTATATTTTAATTATTATAAATAATTTTTGATTAACAACAATTGCTTTAACTACTTTTTGATATACTGCAAATACATTTTCACCATGTCTTTGCAGAATGTGCTGATCATTAGGTTGTTAAATGTTCTGCCTGTAAGTCTTGCTGGGCCTGGGCTCCTAGCCACGGGTCCAGCGACAATGCTTTACACCATCCACAAATCATTAAACCCAAAGCTTGTCCACATAGAACTACTGGTCAAACAGGTGACCCCTGGTGTGGTGTGCGCTGATTCGCTTGTTGAGAATACTTCACCCCACATGGGTGTTTTAATGGTTGCTCTTTATGCTGAGGAGGAGCCCAGATCCTTTAATTCTTGAGTAGTTCAAAATGCTCTGTAGATAGGAAACCAAAAAACTATAGTAGAGCAAAGGTGCTTGGATGGAGAGTGATAATCAACCCAAGGCAGGCATGGATTTCCTAATGAAAGTAATATTTATCATGCATCAAAATAATGTGTTTCCTGACTGAAATGTCACTTCCTCAGATTAATGTGTAGAAACATACAAGCTTAGTCAGCTGACCTGCAGACTGCTCAGTGGCATGCTGGTTTGTGTCAGGTTGGCATGCTGGTTTGTGTCAGGTCAGCTGATAAGCTGACTGGTTAGCCAATTAAGCATATATGCATGCACAGCATTAATCTAAAGAACGGACCAGTTTGGAAACAAACACGTTATTTTCAGCAAGAAATCCATGTCTTCTTTGGATTGATTACCACACTTTATCTGGGTGCCTCTGCAAAAAGTGCCCAAGTGCCTTTAATTGTTCACAATTCAATCAAATAAAAAACAGCCGATGATTACGGGGCAACAACATTTCCCCTTCATCAGGGCCCAGAATGGGATAAGGATTTGATTTGGACTCAAAACATACTATAACCAAATAGATCTCTATCAGGATTATTCACATAAGGGTGAAGAGTTTGGAGATGGCAGGAGAAGTGAATAATCTAGGACACCATAGCTGAACTGAAGAATTTTTCCAAACCAGCTATTTTTTCCTAGATTGTTCATTTCTCCTGCCTTCTCCAAACTCTTCACCCTTTTGTGAATAACCCTTTATATGTTTTGATAAAAGAAAATCCTTCTCTATGGATGAAAATGTAATTAGCAGCAGCAGCATTAGCTGGTTTGGCCCCCTTTGGTTCCAAACACTTGATGTCATGACTGACAGGCCATCAATAGGAAAAGGTGTCCCTGGTGCATTTGTATTATGTCTTAATTCTTAAAAAATTAAATTTTTTAGGATGTTTGTTTTTTCTTCTAAATAGTTGTGTTTTATATTTATTATATGTAAGACTGTACTCGTTACTTATAATTCTGTAGAGTATAAACACCAGGCTGATCTGATTACCAAAATTCTGTTTTGTTTTGTAGGGAAGAAAAACTATTTGGTGAGGAGATTATACTGCAAGTAACTGCTGATATTTAAACAGAGAAAGGATGATACATTGATGTCCATGGAGTTCAGTGGGTCATCAGCAATGTCTTCTGCAGGAACTAGCTTTTTAAACAGTTCATATCATTGAAGCTGCACTTTATCTTGGTCCATGTCTGTTGCTGAATGTTCTAACTTTTGATCTGTTTATATTTTAACCGTGTTTAATATATTTAGTGTATGTATGTAGTGTACACAGGAAGCAGATCATGGCACTGTTTAGATTATAACACAGAGCCACATCCAGTGAGGGCTTATGCGTTAACATGACTGATAGTATTTTATATGTATACAAAATGGAGTTCTATCTATACGTCCTATGTGGTGCATAGGTCTATATTCACACAGGAACCAGTTTATGAAATGATAAATATAGTGTTGATAAGCAACCAGTAGGGTTTTGCAATTCATACTCTAAACATATTGGGTAATAAAACATATTTGGTTGTTGTTGACACCATCTCCACTTATTGATGAATCAGTTTTCATAAATCAATTGTACAACATAACTTATAACTCTGCTTTTTGTCGTAATCAGATTTCTTGTTTTAAACTGTTGTATATAGTAAACTAATAATAAGACCCACAAATGTGTATAATTATTTATTTCCAAGTTAAAACTACCCTGCATACTGTGTTTGTGAAGGAGGTGAGATGATATCTGCCCTGTGTACATAATCACACACTGGGGAATTTATAGATATTGGAGCGAGAAAAATCATGTTAACATGAACCTGTAGATGGGGCCTTTTATCCAGTAATAATATCAGTGTTATAAAGTAGCTTTGATTCCTTTAACTATATTAGTCACATCACAGTTTATAGAAGGAAATACTATAGAAAAAGATGGGTTTCATTTTATGTTTTTTTACTTATGAGTGTTTGTAGAAAAGCCTCTAAAGTCCCTCACACATTGGGTTACAGACACATCTTCCTGCATGGTGCTATCGATGCTGTTATACGCTGTTAGTTACACATTCGGGTCAGTAAATGGCTTTCATGGAGCATCAATCACAGCCGCAGTGCCTCTTATCAGATGTTGCTTTGCATATGAAATATGTTCCTCAGGGGCGTATCTGCCGCGAGGCAAACAAGGCATTGGCCTCCGGCGGCAGATTCCTAGGGAGCGGCAAAAATGCCGGGGTCTCAATGTACCGGCCTGCGGACCAGTTGCGGCCCGCGAGCCGGTACTTTGTGACCCGCAGCCAGCTCAGAAGTCAGGCACGCACACAGACCGCATACCTGACTTGCGGGTGCAGCCCTCGAATGCAGACCGTGTAGCTGAGTCTGCGCCGGCACTCGGATCCTTTCGGCCATCGCTCTTTCAGTGAACGCTGGCCGAAAGGATTGTGCAGGATCGATTGGGAAGGTCTGCAGCAGACCTTCCCAATCGACCACCGATCACTGGGACTGACGTGCCGCCTCACAGCCTCCTCCCTGCAAGAAGGTAAGCAGGAGTAGGAACTTGCGTTTTCCTGCAGCAGAAATCCCTAAATTGGCATTTACAAATGGCAGCTGTCACCTAGATTAATGATCAGGTGACAGCAGGTGTATGTAAATGCCTGCACACCGCATGTAAAGATACGTGATATGTTTACATTCAGTTAGAATCAATCACTCTCCCTGGATGCACAATCGAAAGTGTTTTCTAACCGCATGTAATCATATCACGTATCATAGATAGAGGGATTTCTGCAAGTTTCTGACGCAGGAATCCCTAATCACACCTAAACCTACAGATATGAAAGGGGCCTTATTGTGTGTATATTGGTGTAGTGCCATGCCGGATACAGTTACATTTTATTTTAAAGTATGAAATTTGGTAAGCGGCCCCCATGAGAGAAGAAATTTGTCGAGTGGCCCCAGAGACGTAAGAGGCGGGGGGCGAAGATGGCAGAGACACCGACGGAGTAAGTGGGAGGCGTCGCCGGAGCTCCAGTCGGGCGGCGAAGATGACAAGGAGGCCGTGTCGGGCGCCGAGGATGAGGAGGCCATGTTCCACAGAGGTCAGGCCGTGCAAGGTAAGAGGACTGTGCTGGCAGAGTCAGACTTGGCATGCTGTCTGTCTCCCAGTTGTTAGACATGAAGTGAGGGGAAACAGTAGGTTTTTCGGCTGGAGTTGAGCTTTAAAGAAGAAATCTGGGAATTTACAAAAGGTACCCTTGTAGTGGGCCTACCCACCGCACTGCAAGGGTTTTGTCTTGGGGACTCAAATAAAGCAGATTTGCTTATCTGATTCTCGGTCCCACAGCACTCAGCACTCTCTCCTCTCTCCCGCTCTATTCGTTGAATGTCCCTTGGCATCCTAGCATCTAATGCAAGTCAATGGACCTGCAGTAGACTTGATGACGTCAGCGTTCCTTAGACCGCTGGAGCCCAAGGGAGAAAAGGCTGTGGCGTTTGGTCTAGCAGCCCAGTGGGACTGAGGATCAGGTGAGCAATGTGTTTTGAAGTTAAACAATTGGCAACCATGGTCTTAGCTATGTTGATAAGATTGGGACTGCCATACTGAAATGCCCCCTCCGCAGCAGTGCACATATGTGAACACAGCAATGAAATGCAATTTGCATGACCTTAGTTAATGAGCTGTGGTTATGTCTGTATTAGTGTATATGTGTAGTGCAGCCCTTACGGAGCAGCACTAAGTAATAACGCAATGGGTCTCCCAGTGTTTCCTATGTGATGAACCACAATAATAAATACACAACACACTAGCACACCTTAAGATGGCTTGAATACCTTTATCTTAGGGTTGGTTGCTAAGGGTTACCGTAACTCCGTAATCTTCTTGTCTAGGGATATTTTCATTCACTTCGCCCATTAGCACTTATCATCCTCTATGGTGACTGATAAAAGCGATGTCCAGCCTATAGATATGATGCTGAGAACATTTATTGATGAACTTCACAGAGAGAGGTTGAGAGTTAGGATCATCCAGGCTGGTGTAGGCTCCCTTAAGTGGCAGGGTGTGGAAGCTGTCTCCATTCACAGCATGAAGAACACCTGGCACACATGCACTTGAGGTAGAAGTCACCAGTCATGTTCATCCTTGTCATCAGGCCTCCAGACTAGTGTAAGCACATGGCTAGTCCCCAGGCTTCAGGCCTAGCCATCTCAGACAGTCCGTAGCAGCCTCCCCACAGGCAGGGCCTGGGGGAGGAAGAGAGAGCCCACATGGTCCACCCCAAGTATTTACCTCCTTCCCCAGCATGCACCACTGACCATTAACCTCACAGTGATTGGCTGGAGAGGGATACCTTCTCTTAGCAATCTCCCATTGGTTGCTCTGTTCTGTGGCTAGTGTGCACCCAGCAGAGGAAAGATGCAAACAATGACAGATTGATTGGGGGAAACTTAATGAACATAGACTACAAATCGGCAGCAGACAGATTACAATCTGACAATAACTACATTTAATAGCACTCCTGCCCACGGTGCTACACATGTAAACAAAATTGCAGTTTTTGTAATTCAGTGTTTTTGTATTTAAAAAGTATTCAAAGCTTTAGACAGGTAAACTGAACTGAAATGAACTTCTGGCAAAAAAAGAATGTCAGTTAGTGAACTGCATTGCTTTCCATGAGTCACTGCAAAGGTCATGAAATCCTCCAAATGTAGCTCTGATTTGAGTTTCATATCATTTCTTAGGCCGGGGCTCAGCAGACTTCTCTCCGTGTGCCTAGACTGCAGCTTCCCGGCAACTTGCATTTCTTCTTAACGTCTTGCTGTCCGCCCGTTGTAAAAAAACGGACGGACGGCACTGCTGCATTGGCGGGTTGCCGTCGCTAGACGGCATTTTTTTTCTGCTCTAGCGGGCACGCACGGGCAGAAAAGACCCGACCATTGCACACACCCGTTACCGGGTGTTTCACATATAGGCGATCAGCGGCTCCATAGCCCGCCGATCGTCTATATGTGCTTGTTCTTAATTCATTTTTCCTTAATATAGTAAAAAAATAAAACCCCCAGTGGTGAATAAATACCACCAAAAGAAAGCTCTATCTGTCCCCAAAAAAGGGTATAGAATTCATTTCAGTACAGCGCTGCATGACGGAATAAATGTCAGTCAAAGTCCCGCAGCGCTGAATACTGAAAAATGGCCTGGATGGGAAGGGGGTTTAACACCGCGGATGTCAACTGGTTAAAGCACATGTGTAAGGTGTAGTTGCAATTAGACATGTGCACTGCCCAAAAAATTTGTTTAGTTTCGTTTCGTTTTAAATTCGGATTTGTGTTATTTCGTTTTTCGGGATTCTGGTGTGAAAGTCAATTCGGATTCGGAATTCGGATTCGTACGAAATTCGGTAGTGGTAGTTCGTTCGAACGTTCGTTTCGTTCTTGTTTCGTTCGTTCGTTCGTTTGCAGCAAAGTGACATTTGAGGGGGGAAATTTTTTTTCTCCTCTAATGTCACTTTGCTCCAACGAACGAAACGAACTTCGGAAACGGAAATTCGGATTCGTTTGCATTTGTCATATCTGTAATTCGGAATTCGGATACATCCGAATGTCCGAATTTCCGAAAATTCGTCCGAATTTCGATTGGACCACATTTTCACAAGCTCAGATTCTGGGTCATTCAGAAGAGGAAAATACCAGAGCCCGTAGCATTTTAGCTAGAATGGTGGCTGGGTATGTAACATACTAGGACAAAAATGAGAGGAATTCAGCATGTAGCCATTGTAGGTTATGTACATATCAATTACAAAGACTATAATGGTTGTAAAATGTGCTGTACAGAGGGGAGAACAGAAGATTTGAAGATCTGAGAAGTTGGAGTCATTTTACCTAGGTGTTACCAACACTTACTGACATTATCCCATTGATGCATTCACATATATGACAACTATAATTGTGCTTTACATTCCTATTTTAGTAAAAAGAGCTAAACGTATCTGTGGTGGAAGTGTATTTTCCTTTTGTTGAAGAATTCCCTTTGTACTCCTAATACACCTGTGCTGTGTGTCTTTACAACATCCATGATCAAACAGCTTTTG